ATGTATATGTATATGTATATGTATATGTATATGTATATGTATATGTATATGTATATGTATATGTATATGTATAACATTTTGGTGGGCAGGGGGAGATGAATATTGCAAAGAATGAAAATGAATTATTCTGCTGTTTCCCTTGTACCTTAGCTATGTAACTTTGTTAAGCACGCATAACTACTTCATTTACACATTAACTTCTGCATTCATATATTCCTGAAAACCCTGTCCTTTCCACTCACAGACTTGGAAATTAGGCTTTAAATCACCTCCAATGACCTCAGTAGAGATTATTTTGAAGCCCCCTTGAGGGAAGAATCTTTCAGCCTCCATTACCACCTTTGTTCAAAAATGCCCCTCCAGCTATCTTGAGGCTTTAAAATATCTCCCTTAATATCAGTGGAGTCTATTTTAAAATATCATTATACTTTACCACTGCATTTTTTGGGTTGGGGGGTTTAGCACTGAGGAGGGGAGAGGGACCTATGCATTTATGAGCTCAATGGAGTATATTTTGTGATTTTGCCTAAGAAAATTTCTTCTTTCCAGTCAGCTGCTGATCAGAAAGAAGAGCTATTCTCTTTTGGCTCAGACAAAAATAGGGGCCAGGGAGAAGGGGCAAGGTCTAAAGAGATGGTTGGAGCTTGGCAGGAACCTGGTAGAAAGCATGGAATTTTTCATAGGTCGGTATTCAGACTGCAGGCTAGAAATTTTCTGGTCTCGATTTATGTCCAGCCTAGATCACTACAACCATTTCAGCCTTTTTAGAATTAGGGTGTGCAATCTGCCTGTGCAAAAAGTGCAGCTATCAAAGTCATTTAGTATAGTGTATGTTTTTCCTAAGCAAGCTTACCTACTGTAATGTAGTAATCTAGTCAAGATGTTTTCAGAATAAAATGAATAACTTTTGGTAAGGGATCTGAATCTGGTTGGAATTGACTCTTATTCATCTTAGATGATCAGGAAACCATGTATTTATAAATGTTATTGAATATTGTAGATTCTCTTACTAAGTTACTTTGCAGAAGGACAATGACCGTGATCACAGCGTGAGACTGGCCATAGGCAACGGCATGAGGAAAGAGGTCTGGAAAGAATTTCTCTCCCGATTTGGATGCCTTAAGATCTATGAGTTCTACGGAGCTACAGAAGGGAATATTGGCTTTGTTAACTACACTGGAAAAGTTGGGGCTGTAGGAAGGACTCATTTCCTCCATAAGGTAATATGTTCCAGACATCTTGATCAAGAAGATCTAGCAAGCTGATTGGTGGAAACATAATCCCAGTTACCATTACAGCATCTTCACTTTAGTACTATTGCTTGAACTTCAATACCTATTATTCCCACTCTGCTTGGAGATTATAGGAATTGTTTTGCCCAGAGAAGTGATACGTTAATTCTCTGACATTAGAGGTCTAGCCTCAAATTAGAAAATTATTTAGCCACCTTCTCTCTCTTTCTCTCTCTCTCCTTGAATAATAAAAGAACTACTTAGTTTTAAATGGACAAACTATTGTGTGAAATGCCATTCATGTGAGATACGTGTTGGGAAAGCAAATCTGCCTTGGCATCTTTAGGGTTCCCAGTACGGGACCATCTTACTAGATGACAAGAGAGCACTGCTGAGCAATATCAGAGTTGCTGTCGCATTTATATAAACTAAATATAACTAAAATGAATATAAATGCCTTCTGTTTAAATACCTCCCCTTTTCCAGTTATCTCACCTCAGATTTTTGGTGGGATTATGTCAGTTTAACCTCTATAAATAACAGTGATTCCTAACTATCCTTTTGTTTACACACCATTATTTCAATTTCATAGACTGAAGGCACATTTGGAGTGCAACTAATCACTGGAATAATGTGTTATTAGTATACCTCATAATAATATTTAACATTTGTTTACACCGAAACATTTTACGTTAGCTCTCTGTAACCACTAAAACGATCCTGTAAAGGAAGCAATATTATTATTTCAGATGGATAGAGAACATGAGGAAGGAAGATGAGATTTGAATCAATCACCTTGTGATTAGTAGCTTGAGCTCTTTTAGATAATACTATAGATCAGTGTTTCTCAGCCTTGGTAATTTTAAGATGTGAGGACTTCAACTCCCAGAATTCCCCAGCCA